ATCAGAATCGACTCCACGGTACTTGCCAACAACAAATTGGTTAACATGGCTATTTACCTTTGCTACAACTATATACACAAATTTGGTGGCGCATACAGGGGACAAAGTTAACAAAACCTTTTAGCTGTAACCAAACACCTTCAGGGAATTAGTTATTGGGCCTGGGAGCTCAGGACACAGTCTTAAGGGACACAAAGACAATGTTCAATATATAGTGATGATACTGGTGAGTAGCAACTGGGGTTTTAAAAGCCTGTGAGTAACCATCAAAGGTGAAACTGTTAGTCTCTCCCTGTCTGGAGGAAAGAGAAGTGATGAAAATCAAAGACACCTGGTGACAATTAGTCCAACTGAGTAGTGGACCATGACATCAGTCTCATTATGCTGAGACTACAAGAACTAGATGTTGCACAGCTACTACTACCAACTGCTCTGAAAGGTCCTGGATAGAGTGAAATCTTGAAAAATGTGGAACCAAACTCAAAATTATAAGAGATCAGGCTTACTGGTTGGACAGAGACTGGTGGAGACGCCAAGACTATGACCCTTCTTCACCCTTCATATCTGCATGGACTTACCCCCCCTGGCTGAATTTTCAGTCAAACAATAAATACACAAGTCTATGTGGCTGTGTGCTGTGGAGCCGGTTCAGACTCATAGCAGCTCTGTACAGGGTTTCTGAGGCTGTAAATCTTTACTGGAGCAGAAAGCCTCATCTTTCTCCCACAGAACAGCTGGTAGTTTCGAATTGCTGACCTTGGGTTCACAGCCAGATCTATAAGGGGAACAATAACACTGGTGAAGTAGTCACACATTAGAATAATCAACCATTCGAGATCAAAAGGGCAGCATCTACTACCCCAGGACAAAGTTCAGAAGAGCTAGGAAGAAGGAGGAGAGGCAATAGGAACAGGCTAAGCAATACTACACTGAGGGGATTGCAATCAATGAGATGTAATCAAATGTGTAGGAATTGTTGAATGGGAAATTGATGATCTGCTCTGTAAAGCTTCACCCAATCACAACCAAAAGTCAGAACGGGGGAAGCAAGTTAATGGAAAAATTCCAGTATTTTTTCATTCCATTTTTCTATGAACTTTTTGAAGCACCATTGTTTGTCATGGTAGAACTGCGCTCCACAGGATTTTCAACGGCTGACTCCCTTCCACCCCAATTTCTAGTGTGCCTCTGTGTGAACTCGAACCTCTAATCTTTTGGTTACTTTGCACCAGCTAGGGTCTGTTAGTAGCCTAAGACCATTCCAACTGAGTATGTGTTACACACTACATAAAATTGTTACTCCCAGAATACAACAGATTGAGTATTTTAAACCTCCAAATTAACAAACAAAAAACCCCAGAGCACCATTGACACTAATCTTCAATTCTTTAGGGAATTAAAGATTTGAGACAGGGACTTAAGTAACTAGTACTTTAGAAAACTATCATTTTCTCTGTGTGTTGGCTTGAATGTCATCAGTGGACTAGAGTTCCTTGGGGGAGGTAGGCTTTTTAACAATAAGCCCTTTTTTTTCACTGCTATCATTCCATTATTATTTTTTTTTAATCCCATTACTTTTATGCTCAATTATAATTTAAAATTAAGGCCATGCCCCGAGTCCCAGAAAGGTTAACGAACCTAAAGGTTAACCAGGACTTCACTAAGTCCTCCAAACTACAGACACTGCCCCGCCCCCAGCCCTTAGGTCTAGCTGGAGTCTGGCATCGGAGGAGGCCTCCCGCAACCTGGAGGAAGGAACGGTTCACAGACGCTCGGCGGGCCCTGGTCTCACGGCTCCTCCAGCTCCCGGCGGCAACAGGCAAGGCCGGCGAACCACGACTTCGGCGCGGGCTGGCGGCTTGGTCCCCGCCGCAGGGCGCGCTCCTGAGCCGCGCGCGGGGTGGCTGAGGTTGTTCAGCGCGTGGGGAGGGCGGGGCGGAGGGTGGCTTTAGCCGGCGTTGTGTTGAGCGGTCTCCCGCTCCAGGAGTGGACGCTCTGAGGCGGCGGCGGAGCCCGAACAGTACGCAGTGGTGAGGCAGCTCGGCTAGTCTTCTAGGAGCTGCATGGGAAGCCCGCCGGCAGGCAAGGCCCTCAGCCCCGGCAGCGTGACCTTTCTGGACACCCGGGAAGCGGTTCGTGCGCCGCCCGGGCCGACTTCCGCGGCCCTCCCTGCCGACACGTGCCGCGGGACCCGAGGGCGCCGCAGTTCTTGCGTCGCAGGCTGCGGAGCTGGGCGCGCGGCGTCCTGTGGCCGGGTCCTTGCTGTATTTCTGCAGTGGCCACTTGGGCCGCTGCGGAGTGCCGCTGTGCTTGCTGATGAATGGAGACTCTTCCGTGCCGCCGGCAGAGGGCTCAGGGCCGAGGCCGTGAGCGTTTAGAGCGGGGGAGAGGAAATAAGTCACCTACTTAGATCTGTTCGTGTGCGAACTGGGAAACCGAGGCATCGCGGCGCTTTTCATATGCAGCACTAGTTACTTGGCGGGTGGCCTCCTGCAGTACCTATTTAAGTCGGAGGTAGAATTTTACTGAAGCAGTTTGTGTCTCCTGATGGAAAATGTGGCCTCATCCGAGTCTATACCCGAGAAATTAATTTTCCCCAGGGAAGTTAAAAAAAAAGATGTATGGTTGGCACCATTGGGTCTCTCCTGAAATTGGCCGTAGTATTGTTTGCAAAAGAGGCCTTTACAGGGGTGCTTTAAAGTCCCGTTTTTTTGTTAACAAGTGATGCAGAAAGTTTATAAATTTTAAATCTTGCTGAACAGGCCTGCCTCTACTCTTGCTCTAATCTTTTCCAAAGCTTGGCTGAACATGTTTTGAGTTAATCGCCCATCCCTTCTGGTTAATCTGTTCGTACGGTACCATCACTGTTTTATATAATTATATAATAATCATATACTAATATTGACACAAATAATTGTGGAATTTAATATACATTTAAGTTTGAAAATACGGTCTTGTTGTTGGGTGCCAGTCAGTCGGTACCGACTCAAAGGACTTGAATTCACATTGATGGTATAGTACGATCTGATTTGTTTGTTAAGAACTCTGGTTGCGCAGTGGTTAAAGCATGCCATTATTATCCTCCAGAGAAATATGTCGCCATCTGCTTCTGTAACGATTGTTGTTGTTAAGCACTGTCAAGTCAGTTCTGACTAATCGCGACACTGTATAGAGTTTCCAAGGAGTTGCTGGTGGATTTGAATTGCCAGTCTTACGGTTAGCAGTCCATTGCTTATCCTACAGTACTTACTGACACTAGCGACCCTAAAGGACAAAGTAGAATTCCCCCAGACGGTTTCCAAGGCCGTAATCTATAAGATTTGTCTTTCATTCTGAGAAAGAAGAGTTAAAAGTAAAACAGTGAATGCGTTGATGTTTCTCCATGTGCCCTGTCTGTGAATTGCCCCTTCAGTGACTTCAATTTTCCTCTAAAATGAAGAGTTGGATGTTTTGTTTTGTTTGGGGTAAGGTTGGAATAATCTTTAGAATCGAACATTGGTTGGTAGAAGTAGACTTTGAAAGACAAGAGTTGGCTCCTTTCTGTGTGACCTCAGAGAAGACCTTATCCCCCTGTGGCCCTCAATTTTCCATCTGAAAGATGGGATTGGATTTTCTGATGTCCTTTTCTATATAAATACCGTTGACCCCATCACCTGACCAATTGGTACTGGCTTTGCAGACCTATCAATAACATAGGTTGGTGTCATCTACCTTGTTGACTTTAAGTACTGTGCTTTTGTCGTTGGTGCTGGCTTTAAAACCTTCCTGTAATGATAGAAGGCTTCATGGAGTTGTCATTGACAAAATGCTTCAAGTGGTTAAACTTCTTGGGGCCTAAAATTATTTTCTGCTGATGTTCATTCTGACAGCGGGAAGAGAAGGGACCTTGACGCTCATCTCTCCTTTAGGAGATGGTGGAGGGGATGAGGCTGCAAGCCTTTTATCAGGAATACACACAATGTCTTGTTAATCACAGAGAAATCACTGACAGTTTAAAAATCATACCAATTAGGTTTCAGAATTGGTTATTTTAATCTGTGTTAATGAGTCATCTTTTTTCCCTAATCAATATTTATTAAGTACATGCCTCAGAAAGACTTGATTTAAAAGTAGAGTAGTAGACAGTTTCACAAACTTTCTAGGTCCCAACTTACTGAGTCAAGATTTCTAGGAAAGAGGCCTGGTTGGTCATTTGAAAACCCACCTCATGCTCAAGTGATTCTTTTCAAGCAAATTTGGGACACAGTCTGAGCTGGTATCACCCCGGAGCTTGTTAGACATGCAGACTCTCTGGTAGCCTCCAAACCACCTCCCAGGCCTACTGAATCAGAATCTGCATTTTTGGCAAGGTTCTCAGATGATTCCCATGCACCTGTCAGCTTGAGAAGCGCTGGCTGTGTCTGGTGACAATAAGTAACATTTGTTACTCTGGGCCTTGTTCTACATACTTTATGTACGTGTTCACATCTTAGCGTCACGCCAAACCGATAAAATTATTTGGGATCCCCCACAATATAGTTATAATATTTTTGTTATTCACCTTGTACAGATGAGAACTCCCCATTTTAGGGCCTGAGGAAACCACCCTGCTGATATTCAGATCCAGGTGGGGTATCATCCCAGACTTGCTTTATGACTACTGAATGAAGCACTGAACTTTGTGGATGGTTATTCCAATTCAGGCCTCTGATGTGCCTTACGCTGTCTATGGTTGCCTTGTTTAGTTAGTAGTCATTTCTGATGTTTTCAAAAAGATTGGTTCCAATCCTGCCTGTGGCTCTGGCATTAGCCAGTCAGCTGGCTTTTAGGGAGGGATTCTGACTTGAGTTTGTTATGGAGAGGTGGTGAGTAGGAAAAGGAAGTTTGAGCTCTGCCCTTCCCTCACACCTGGAACTCCCTGGCTTTGAAGCTATGGAGAGCCAGGAGCCAGGGACAGGGAGCAGGCTTAGAGAATGGGAGGCCACAGATCTGACTCATGGTGAATTCTTGTCTTCTCTCAGGGATATGAAAAGCCCATCCTAAGTGCCACGGATTGCCTTCCACCAAGACTATCAGGCCCCAGAGTGTGAACATGAAGTCCAATCCTGCTATCCAAGCTGCCATCGACCTCACAGCAGGCGCTGCAGGTAATCCTGGAGATAGTCCAGCTCTAAGTGAGGCCAAGTGGACATGGTGTGAAAATATTATCTGTGTCACTCATGAAATAATATGCTTTAACCATACAGAAAATGTTATATTGCTGTTAGGTGCTATAGTGTCTGTTCCGACTCATAGTGACCCTGTGCATGTGTTCCCATCTTAGCGTCACGCCATACAGAAAGTGTTATATTGCTGTTAGGTGCTATAGTGTCTGTTAGACACTGCCTGGTCCTGTACTGTAATCACAGTTGTTGTTAAGTTTGAGCCCATTGCTGCTGCCACTGTGACAATCCATCTCATTGGGAGTCTTCCTCTTTTTCACTGACCAAGCATAATAATCTTTCTCCAGGGATTGCTCCCGCTTGATAATATGTTTGAAGTATAAGAGAGTAAGTCTCACCAGCCATGTTCTAGGAGCATTCTGACTACTTCTTCCAACACAGATTTGTTTGTTAGTCTGACAGTTCATGGTATTCTCAAGAAGGTGTTCTGTTGTTGTTAGATGCCTTTGAGTCGGTTCTGACTCAGCGGCCCTACGTACAACTGAACAAAACATGACCTGATCCTGAACCATCCTCACAATTGTTAATATGCTTGAGCCCATTGCTGCTGCCACTTGCCAGTGCATCTCGTTAGAGCACTTCCTCTTTTTTGTTGACCCTTCATTTTATCAAGCATGATGTTCTTCTCCAGGGACTGGTCTCTCTGATAACATGTCCGAAGTATGAGAGACAAAGTTTTGCCATCCTGACTTCCAAGGAGTGTTCTGTCTGTACTTCTTCCAGTACAGGTTTGCTTGTTTTTTTGGCAGTCCATGATACTTTTAATATTCTTCTCCAACACAGTAACTCCTATGCATCAATTCTTCTGTGGTCTTTTCTGTTCATTGTGCAACTTTCACATGTATATGAAGCTAATGAAAATATGGCACACCTTAGTCCTCAAACTAACAACTTTGCTTTTTACCCCCAAATGTTTTATTGTGAATTATGTGATAGTTTACATGGGAGAACATTAGCTTTAACACCCCACAAGCCTGCCCCCCGGTCGTCAGCACACAGCCCCTCTCCCTCTCTGAGTCTGGAGTTCCCAGCTGCTTCATCTCTCCATGTCATCTTCTCTGCCTCCATCTCTGGCGTCACTGTTTCTCTTGGTAGGGTCCCGCTCTCCGCTCTTCTCCCCTGATGGTCCCCAGGGCCCTCCTCTTCTGGACTGCAAAGTCAATTACTCCCCTCCTTTTTTACAAAACGTCTACCTTTACTTTTCCAACCCTCACAGTCAGTCCTGATAGTCATTATTCACTGTTGTACCACATGAGTGCTATCCACATCTCCTTTCATCAGTCCTACCCAGACAGATTGGATACTACTTACTACTCAGTGGAGATTCTACCTTCCTCTGCGCTCTCTGGATCTAGGCTCCCTCTTGAAAGCTTGTAATCCAGTCACTTCTTGTGTTTGTGCCCCTCCCCCCCCCATTTTGGGTAGCCAGTGTCCAAGTTGCCCATCCCTGTCTGCCCTGTGTATTGAGGGGGTGGGAATGATCCTCGCTGTAAAGATTTCATCCTTCTGTTGAGCTACTGCATCCATAAATGTAGGTCAACGTCATCAAATTGTATCAGATTACTCTTTTTTCCCTCTACTTTCTTCTTCTAGTTGAGCTCTGATCATCCAGCCATTGAAGCCAGGTCAAGTGGGTATTATATATAATTATATATGCACAAGTTCTTGTGCATATACCCTATCTTCTTATCAGCTGGACGCTTCATTCTCCACTTTAGTACTCTGTGGCTGTGTCACTGACTCTGGGCCCAGGAGTCCCCAGGTCTTGCCAAACTGCTGGCCAACCAGGTCTCCACCTGGATTCACAGGAGTGTGTTGAATGTGGTTGGACTTAGCTCGCAGCTTCACGGCTGTTTTCCCCTCACTTCCCCTTATCAATGACCAATGTGGAGCACCAGTCAGAGCACGTTGTCTGCTCATGTATTCCCATTGAATCTCAGTCTTAGAAGGGGGTTTGCCCTGAGAGGACCTGACCGCTTGCTATAATGTCTCCTGGGCAAGCAACTTGCTTGTTCTCGTAGTAATCAGTCAGACTGCCTATATTGTTTTGTATTTTTCCTGTCGGTCTTTCTTTCAAGAAGTGTTTTCTGTTCTTCTAGTGACTCCAGGCTGGTCTGCTTGTCCTTTCCAGTGGAAATTTCCCACCTCAAAAGATTCTGAATGGAGTTCAGGATTCCACCTATGGTCTTAGTAATGCAGAGGCTCCACAGGAAGCCTCCTTCTCTGGGCATGTTGTAACCCCATTTTAGGTATTCCAATCAGTTATGGGAAGAAGATGGACTTACAAGCTTTCTATTGTGATATTTCTGGCTATTCCTTTCTCTTCCCCTCAAGTGTCTATTTTATAATGGTATGCCAGGGAAACCAAAATTCAAAAGACAGCCAACCATCTTAAAATTATTTCCCCCTTTTGCCCATTCCAACCATGTCTCAATCCCTGTATCCCAGAGCCCTGTTGTTCCAAGGCTGTGTATACATCATTATTTACTTCTGTCCTACTTAGCCCATGCAAACCTGCCTAATTGTTTTCCCATCTGCCTTGTTCTTCCGGTCCCCTCCTTCTTCTTGTGTATTGCCCCCACCTCCCGAGCACCTAAACTATCCAGTGTCTATTCCCTACCTTGTGCTCCACCTTCCCCTCCTTCCCTCACTGCACCACCTCCCACATCCTAGTAACTAGCAAAGGATTCCCCTTCCCCCCCACCCCCCCACCCCCTTTAGTATGGGTGCTTTTTCTTAGTCTTTTACAGTAGTGGTCCTATGCAGTATACAGCTTAGCTTTTGAACACTTTAAAGAGGTCTTGTGCAGCAGATTCGTATCATGCGGTATGTCATTTAATTTCTTTTCTGCTCCTTCCATGAGTGTTGATGATTGATCCGAACAAAATGAAGTCTTTGACAGCTTCAATCTTTTCTCCATTTATCATGATGTTATTTATTGTTCCAGTGGTGAGGATTTTTGTTTTCTTTACACTGAGGTGCAACCCATATCGAAAGCTGTGGTCTTTCATCTTCATCAGTAAGTGCTTTAAGTCCTCTTTTCCAGTAAGCAGGACTGTGACATCTTCATATCACAAGTTATTAATGAGTCTTCCTTTAATCCTGATGCCACGTTCTTCATATAATCTAGCTTCTTGAACTATTTGCTCAGCATACAGAATAAACATGGTGAAAGAACCCTGTCATACATGTTTCCTGATTTTAAACCATTCAGTGTCTTCTTATTCTGTTTGAATGACTACTTCTTAGTCTATGTACAGGTTCTTCATGAGCACAATTAAGTGTTCTGGGATCCTCATTCTCTTCAGTGTTGTCATGATCCCCCAAAATGGAAGCCTTTGGCTAGTCTATGGAGCACAGGTAAACATCTTTCTGGTATTCTCTGCTTTCAGCCAAGATCCATCTGATGTCAGCATGATATCCTTCATTCCATGTCCTCATGTGAATCCTGTCAGTGTACTGTTGCAACTGTATCTTTAGCAAAACTTTACTTGAATGTGATATTAATGATACTGTCTTATGCTTTCTGCATTCTGTTGGATAATTTCTCTTTGGAATGGGCACGGATATGGATCTCTTTTAATCACTTGGACAGGTAGTTGTCTTTCAGATTTCTTGGCATGGATAAGTAAGTACTTCCAGAGCTGCTTCAGTTTGTTGAAAGATTTCAATTTGTATTCCATCAATTCCTGGAGCCTTGTTCGTTGTAATGCCTTCAGTGCACCTTGAACTTCTTGTTTCAATGCCATTGTCTCTTCATCATGTGCTATCTCTTGAAATGATTGAACATCAACCTTTTTCTTTTGGTACAGTGAATCTGTAGTCTTTACATCTTCTTTTGATGCTTTCTGCATCATTCAATATTTGATAGAATCGAGGCTTAAAGTTTTTCTTCAGTTCTTTCAGCGTGAGAAATACTGAGCGTGTTTTTCCTTTTTGGTTTTCTGACTCCGGATTTTTGCACATTTTATTATAATACTTTACTTTGTCTTCTTGAGCTGCCCTTTGAAATTTTCTGTTCAGCTGTACCACTTCCACGTTTCTTCCATTTGCTTTAGCATTTCTACACTATAGAGCAAGTTTCAGAATCTCTTCTGACATCCATTTTGGTCTTTTCCTTCTTTCTTGTCTTAATGACCTTTTGCTTTCTTCTGTGTGATGTTCTTGATGCCATCCCACAACTCTTCTGGTCTTTGGTTTTTAGTGTCTAATGTATCAAATCTGTTTTTCAGAGATCTCTAAATTCAGGTGGGATACGTTGTAGGTCATATTTTGGTGCTCATGGACTTGTTTTACTTTTCTTCAGCTTCAGCCTGAACTTGCACATGAGTAATTGATGGTCTGCTCTGCCCCTGGCTTTGTTTTGGCAGATGATATGGAGCTTTCCCACCATCTCTTTACTCAGATGTTGTCAATTTGATTTCTGTATATTCCATCTAGTGAGGCCCATGTATACAGTCATCTTTTATGTTGTTTAAAACGTATTTGCAATGAAGAAGTCATTGGTCTTGCAAAATTCTATCATGTGATCTTCAGGATCATTTCTATCACCAAGGCCATATTTTCCAAATACTGATCCTTCCTTTTTGTTTCCAACCTTTGCATCCAAATTACCATTTTAATCGCATGTTTGATCAACTTCAGACTGAAGAAGTTGGTAGAATTCTTCAATTTCATAATCACTGGCATTAGTGGTTGGTATGTAAATTTGAATAAAATAATTTGTTATAGGAACTCTTGTATTAAAGTTAGGCTTGGTGGTGAGATTACCCCTAATTTACAGATGGAAGACATCTCACCTGGTATATGCAGGTATGTGGTATTCCAGCCCCAGTGTGGCTGTTGTCATAGCTCTTTGGTGCAGAGAGAGAACCACCATGTTCTCTCTCTGGGGAAATACTGTTCTTGCTAAACCAGTTGTTGTT